ATAATAGATTTTCTTTTATCTTTTATATTTTTATTTATCGTTTATATCTGCAAATTTAAATTTATATACTACATTACAAAATAAATTTCAAATTATGTATTATATTATATATAAAATTATGTATAATATAACCTTCCCATGGGGTACACCTTGTCGCGGTGGGAGGGCTTAGTACCTGGACGGTGCCTTGAGGTTTATCTTAAATTTTCCAATTTTTGATAAATCTTAAGATGCCTGAATGGGAAGCTAAGTACCCTTTCGCGTCGTCGATGCCGTCAACGTGCCGCGGACGGCAAGCGCTTCGTTACCGCGTTTTCGCGTTGTCGCGTTTTCCGAAACCGGGAGTGTCGTACAAAGTATATATATATTAAATATATACATCGCGCGACCAAATTTTTAATCGCATCGAAATAGTGCGGGAGTGCCGTTTAGTATCGCGCGTAAAATAACAAAAATAGCGACATAAAAATATCGCTCGCGAGTGCGGGAGTGTCGTTAAAAGTTCGCGCGTCAACAACATGAGAGGAGGAGGAGGCTTGGGAGAGGCATCTTGCATCGGCGGAGCAACCTGATGGTGAATATTTGTTATTTATATATCAATTGGTATAAATTGTACGGATAAAAATTTGGTCTTATTATTTAAATGAATTAAAGAGAATAGAGAAAAAGATTTTTATAAAAGTCATGTAAAACTTTCTATTTAAAGAACCGTCTCACAAATTTATAAAATTTTTCCATACGTGTTTATCTCTGCTTATTATTTTACACATCGGATATAAAATTTCGAACAATAAAAATTTTTTGAAATATTAATTGCATTTTGCGAACATTATTATAAATGAATTTTATATTTGTATGTTATAGACAACGTAGCTTCGATAACTCCGCTGTTGCGCATCAGTGCCGGTGAGTGAGTAAAATTTTTATTTAACTTTAAGATAACGGATTCGTAGACATTGTAGATGTAGATGTAGATTGTAGATTGTAGTAAATCCGTTGCCTTAAAATGGATGAGCTAGGACAGATTAAATTAAATAACTATTAATAAATTCTTTCGAAATGCTTTGCATCTATTGCGAAAATGTATTGAAATATTAAATAAAAAAAACGAATCAAGAAAAGAAATTATTTTTTTAAAGATTTTGTCCAATTTATGATATAAAGAGCATTAATAATTTTATCAATTTTATCAATTTTTGATGCTACTTTATTTTTATAACGCGCACTTATTTTATTCTAATTTCTTATAGCTCATCCATCATAGAATTTGTTTGTAGATATTGTTTTTAAACTTTATTTTAACTTAATATAAAGTCAAATGATTAATTAACTAAATAATTTGTAATATGATAAAAGTTATACACACACATGAATTTTATATTTTATTAGAAAATATAATATACAGAAATTTGTAGTAATTTGGCTTTATTTGAGTTAAAATAAAATTATATTCAAATATTTAACGAACGATCGTAAAATCGAGCGATCTCGTTGCGATAAGCGTGAAATATTTACGCTTATTTGCCGGTAATTAATCGTCAAAATAAGGAGTGTTTGTCTCTTTTTTCGATCTCTGATTAAAGATCAAATGAAAGTGGCCAGGATCAACGAAAGGTAAATTCAACTGGCCTGAAGAAAAGATTTCGTACAATAACACGTAATGTCGGACATTTATTCACGCGGTTAGGGCATGTAATTTAAAATATACGTGATTAGAGATAGGCTCGAATAGTTTAATCGAGAAATAGGATTATTAGAGCTATCAGGTGATTGTTAAGATTTTTTAATATTCCTTTTAAGAAGTAAAGGATTGTTAGGGCTGTTATGTGATGAATTTAGGTGATTAATATATTATGTATCTTTTAAAGAATCAGGAAATGTAGGTTTAAATAATATTAGGGAAAACAGATTAATAAATATTTCAATAATTATATTATTAGTATTAAGAATTTTTAAGGGATCAATATTTTTTGAGTGTTTCTTTATAAGTATTTTATTTATATAAGAATAAAAATTAAATTGTTAACACTCAATTATTTTTATAGTAATACGAATTCCTTTACGAAATTTTATGTATTTATGTAATACGAAATTTTATATGTTAATTTTATTTTATATTATTTTTTTTTATGTATATGAGAGCCCGCTAAATATGTCCCGCCGTGGTGTGCATTTTCCTCATTTAAAACAGAAAAAAGAGGATTATTAGGGTTATTAGGTGATAATTAAAATTTTTTTAATATTCCTTTAATGCTAACGAAAATATATTAAAATTCCAATAATCTTAGGAATTAATCATCTCTAATCTTGTCTAGACTATGTAAAATTTTTAGTAAATTTTATATTGTAAGATATTATGCATATATTTTGCATATACCTGATGCATATACCTGAAAACAAATGTCCATAGAAAGTATTCCGATGGAAGGAATAAGCATGGCAAGTGATGGTAATTTTTATGATGTTAATACAAAGGAATACTACAAACTATAATAATCCAAAAACTCGAAGAAAAAAATATATTGGATAGAAATGCATAATGATTGGAAACCTATTTATTCCCAGGTAGCAAGCACACGTCATTTTGACGTTTCAAACTGATCATTTTCGATTATATGTCGTCAGAATGACTGATTTGTTACATGATTTTATATTGATGTCTTGATATAACATTATTTTGACATCATTATTTCATGAACTAACTGACGATTATTTTATTATTAATATGATTATTTAGTACATCGATCTCATAAAAAAATTTTTTTTAATTTTTCATATAACATAACTTTCGCGATCAGATTTTAACCATTTTTTTTCGACGCATGCGTTTATCTGTGAATTATGTTGCTTGTATTCAATTTTTTATTATTATTTTTTATTATATAATTTGTTTTCAATTTTATTGTGCAAGTATTCAAATATTCATTAAATTAGTGAACAGTGAAAATATTAACTATATCAATCGAGTGTAATTAAAGTGCCAACAAATATATTTTTTATAGTAATATATTTTTAGAAATATATTTTTAAATAAATAATATATTTCTAAAAATATATTTTTTTATAATTTTTTTATAATACAGTTGGTTAACAAAATATATTTTTATAAAATGCAGGCAACGGAACACATTATTTGTTAAAATTTTGTATGATATTAGAAGTAAATTCTTTTATTTGTTTAAATAAAATAACAAATATAAAACTTGTGAGCTATTTTCTTACCATATTTGTTTTCCAGCGTTTTCAAATAAAGTAGTTTAATCGATCCTTTGAAGAATAGAATGGCTGTAATTGTTCAATGCTCTCGAATCGATTAATCTGCTTTATTCGACACAACGCTATTAAATATATTATGCTAATAAAAAGATGTCAAAATATGGTATATTTTATGACGTCAAAATGCGGTACATATCACGACGATGTCAAGAATCTGTGACATTAGACCGTTACTTTTACGTTATAAAAACGTCAAGAATTAGTCAGCGAATGACTAATTTGAAACATCAAAATGACGTGTGCTTCCTACCTGGGTAATGATTTATAATTTACTTTATTATTATATTTAATCATAGAGATGAAAACTGTAATACTTTACATTAAACTAGAGTCTTCTAATATAAGGTACAAATCAAATCATCGGCTTCGATTGCGGAATATCTAAATAACAATATCTTTACTTGAAGTAGAAGAATGCAATTTCATTAATAGAATCGCAAATTCATAAAACTTATATTTCAATTATCAAAATTTGAATCAATTAATATAATTCAATGTAAAATTTTAATCTCAAGAACGATTCATTATTGCGAAATGCATTCTCATGTATCAACAGTATTAAATGTATGAACAGAATATAGTACATACAATTTTAGATCAATGTAAAAATATGCATCAAACTAAAACAGTCTTTAGTCAGCGTTAATAATATAATTCATGGATTTAAAGTAAATTATACGACATCTCAACTAATTATTTTCGTTAAATCATTAAAAATAAATAAACGATGTTCAAAAATAATACTCAGATTCATGGGCGTAGCCAGACCTATGTTTTGGGGGAGAGACTAAAAAATATTTCTATATTTTTGTATATAGACTATTATTTATTTTTTTTATTAAATTGTTTATTCTATGTATTTTTTATTTTTGAAAATTACAAATTTAATACATAAAAATCAAATATACATAAACAGTTTGTACGTTAATTTTAAAGAGTATAATTTTAGATTTTTTTCCTAATGCGATTAAGTGAGGACATGAGCTTCTATTATAAAAAAACACATGAAGTTAAATAAACACATAAAGTTAAATAAACCAATAGAACCATAAAGTTAAATAAACCAATAGATGTTCGAAAGATTATAAAATAGCAAAGTAAATATTTATAAGTTAAATTTAAAATTTTAAAAATACAATTATGAAAAATCTAATTCTTTAATAAAGCAAATCGATTAAAAAATAAGCATAGTAAAAAAAATGGCATCGCATAAAAAATGGCGTAATTAAAGTTGAATATTGACTTGCCTTTTTTAATAATGAATAATTTGTAATCTAAAATAAATATATCTGTGATGTTACTTATATAAATAGATATACATTTGTTTGTAGAAATATATATTTATAGATAAATATCTTTTATGAGAAAAATGTTTTAAACTATTTGTAGTGATATTGTATTTTTATATGAAAAATTTATTTCGTTTTTGATATATTTGCTACTTTAGATTGTGAGTAATGATGGTAGATATTAAACACTAATATAAATTATTGTCTTATATTACTTCTTTATATGGCAGAAATGATCTACCCTGTTATAATATTGATAATTATTTATATTATTTAGTTCAATAGAGAAATATATATATTATTAAATAATAAAAATTCATAAATATCATCTTTTGATAAAGTATAAATCTAATTTATATATATTTTTGCTTATATACATAAGTACATATTTTGTCTTTTATATACATGTCATATATTTTTCATATATTTTGGATGCTATTTTTTAATAACAATTATATATTTTTGTTTTTAAAATAAACCATATATGAATACTCACATTCTGAAATATATCTGTAATTATATAAATTTATCAAATTTAATAAGGGCTTAGTCTATTGAGTTTAATCCATTTTTTTAGCACTCCGTGTTTTCCAGGCAACCAACAAATTCCAAGAAAAATATAAAGAGAAACAATGAACTTGTGAGGCTAAAAGGATAAATGCATACCAAAGTACGCCATATGGTAAACTCTGAAAAATAAATTGTGATATTAGTATAATACTTTTACTTAAAATATAAAACAGAAATTGTTTTTTCTTAATGAAAAAAATAAATCTTGCAAATATCAAATTAAATTAAATTAAAAACCAAATTAAATTTTTTATGGATAATTTTATGTGATAAAAAATTTAATCGAATAAAGTTGATCACTTTACAGATATAATCATACCTGCCACAAATAAATATCTTCGGATCCTAAAGTTAAGTACGTCCAGACATCCTTAAAGTAATACACGATGGCATATATCAATGGACCGTAACCTAGTAAAATGATACCTATCATGTATCTCTGCAATGTTTTAACGTTATTTTTTTTAATTGCTGACAGAGCAAGAAAAGATAATAATAAACTAGTGCACCATATGTATTCCCACCATAATGGCTAAAATAGAAAAAACAATAAATCAATTAAATAATGACATTTCTATCATGAATAAAAAAAAATATATGTATCGCATTTTTAATATATGTAAAATTGAATCACAAAGAGATACTTATTTTATTTTCTTAAATTTATTTATTTAAAATAAATGCTTATAATAAAATAAAGTATAATTAATCTAAATTCAATATTTATAATATTGGTCAAGATATTTTTTATTATACCTGTGGTATTTGTAGTTCTTCTACTTCTAAGATGAATATGTCTAGGTAATCTAATATATCAGCAGAAAGTTTGGCAAGCATGACAAAAAATAATAAATAGTGAAAAAATATACAATACTTCAGTCTTGATTTATTTGTTGCGCTGAAAATAAAAATAATATTTAATAAAAAATAGAAATAGGAATTTTTATACACATTCATCTTATATACTATATGTGTATGCCATATGTGTCATATTGTACATTAATTTGTAAGATAACATATGCACATTTAGATATATGTAGTTTTTTAATGAATTATATTAATTCGTATATTAGTATAAATGACGTGTAATCTGCTTCAAAACTTTATTTATTTAATATATAATACTTAAATAGTACTTAAATAGTACTTAAATAGTACTTTACATTGAAATGTGTATGTGCGTGTGTGTATCTATATATATATATATATATATATATATATATATATATATATAATAAAAATAAAAAAATAGAAAATATAATTAATATATTTAATTTATATTATTGGATCATCAATGAGTCATAAAGTTCGCAATAAAAAAATTTGAAAAAACTCCATATTTTTTAAAGAATTTCTCACCTAATTAGGTAGTGTGTTGCAATTTTTTGCCTATGATTATAGTCGCTTCCATCCGTCCCTAAGGCCTGGGAAAGAGTCATTTTCGAAGCCATAATTAGGAAAATTCTTTTTTTCGCGCGGAAATCTTCTCCAAATATGATTTAAATCTTGTTCAATCTGACAATTGAAGTCCGAGGCAATTTATACCACTGTTCATCAGCGAGTATTTAACTATTTTTAAACATTCCGCAAGCGAGAAAATGACCTGGTCTCAGAATATCAAGTAATACCTAGTGTGAACGTATTTCACCCAGTGATTCCATACTAACTAAAGACTGCGTTCCGATTCTCCACCTGGTGGGTAATAGTTGGATGAGTTAGTGATGGGCGGAGCCTAACAAAAAGAGTCCAAGAGAATGGCCGCATTCAGCGGACTCAACCGCTAAGTAGCAATCGAATATGATTGGTCTCTACTTTCAGGTCCGACCAATCAGCGTCGAGTTACATCGGAAAATCTAGTAATGTTGCCCAACTGTTGAGTTCGTTGAATGTGGCCAATTATAGAATCAGAACGCACTCACCATAATTTTCCAGCGGGAAAATTGAAAACTAAACACCAAATTGTTGCAAACATATATGAGCACCGGCGAGTTGTTGCATTAACTGCGATTGCTTTCAGTAACGATTTTCTTCGTTGTCACGTATTTTTTGATTATAACAATTCGAATTATTTTTATGTTTTTACAGACATTTTATGATAGATAAAACTGGCTACAAACACTTCAATAACATAAGAAATAATTAAGTAAAGATTTCTTTAACCTGATTGGTCAATCAAACGCTTCAAAGCGTTTCCTCGACTGTAACCAGAGCAGTGTTCCGATTAGGTGCGTGCGCATGTGCAACTTTGCATGTGAAATTACATTGTAATCTCTTAACAATATATTTACATAAGAGACATATTTACATATTTCGGTATAACCCTCAATTTTCGAATATCCACATAAATAACAATTTATCATATTTATGGTAAATAACAATTTACTATAAATAATAATTTTATTATTTTAATAATTTTATTATTTTTCTATCAATTCACTTATTACAAATCATAAAATTGTTTTATGACGTGAACGAAATTGAGGTTGTGTTGTCAGAATCAGAAACCATCCCATCAGATTGTCACTAAAATTGGTCACTAGAATTGATTCAGTTTTATGACGTAATCCGTTGTCTCCCCACTGAATTTTCGCTTCATGCTCCTGGCACATGCTCTTTCCTAGCACATACTCCTTCCTTCTTTATTCAATGGTCGCGAGGATCGTGTCACGGTTGGCGACACTGCGACCTAACCTATCGGAAACGAAGTAGCGGATGCGCGGGGTAAGTTTTTGGGTACGTTGGTTTCGGTTACTCGCGCGATTTCTCGCTGTGCTCATCGTTGCACGGGGGACGCGGAGGTAACGGGAAGGTTCTGACTTGTGAGTTTCTTACGGGGAAACAAACATCAACATTGTACGTCCGATATTCGCGGGACGGAGCTGACTCAGCACCGCATTTTCGCACAGGAGAATCGTCCTTCGACAACGTTGTTGCCTGTTATGTGGTGAACGTCGATAGGTAAGTTGGGCGCTTTTGTTCGCTCGCGACCGATGATGCTCTTTCTTCCGAAGCTTTCGCGAAAAAAAAAATATAATATTCAAAAAGAGAAAGAGAGAGAGAGAGAGACGGAGCGAAGAACACGAGTTCGTTTGTGCTCCGACATTTCTGTTACTCCCTCACTCTGTCTCTCTCCATCTCTATCTCTCTGTTTCTCCCGACGAACGAGTCGCGTATTGCACGATGTAACGGAATCCCTGACTTCGACTAACCTTTTCCTTTCATATATTTCTTGCTTCTCGTGAATACAAATTTTGGCGTCAATTCAGTAAAATGTGACCTGGAATACACATTTGTTCAGTTATTCAGTTTTCTATTGTTAAGATCTCAAGTTACACAGTGTTCTGAACAACTACTGTGAATAATACAAGCTGTTATTGTAAATTCAATCAATTGTGTTGTATTTTAAATATTTAATATAGAGATATTATATTGAATTTCTTTCATCTTTCTTTATTTTATTATTATAGAAATTGTACTTTGCACTGCTATAGATATGTATACACTATAAGTGTCTGGATTTCATTGTAGTGCAGAATTAATATTACATTTATACAGAATTAATATTATATTTATCTTCGCAGAAATTGTAGTCGTACCTAGTAACAGTGACGCTCACTCGACAAGCATATAGGAACAGAATGTCAGGGCATAGAGGTGGAGGGGCTGGAAGCCATCAAGGTGGCCCTCCAGGCCTCAAGCAGATTGATTTAGATCAAATTTGGGGAGACTTACGCGAAGGCATAGAACAAGTTTATAACAGACAATGTATGTTGAAACCTAGATACATCGAGTTGTACACGTATCCTTTGTATTAGAGAAGATGTTTCTTCCTATTCTTATGTTTCTGCTTTTTCCGTTTTAAATTTTGATCTTCAAATACGATATTTTCCTGCTACGTTGCAAAATTTCTATAGACATGTATATAATTATTGCACAAGCGTTCATCAACAACTAACTAGGACATCGAGCAAGAGTAAAAAGGGACAAATTCAACAAGGAGGTGCACAATTAGTGGGATTGGAATTATACAAACGTCTACGTGAATTTCTTAGGAATTATCTTATCAGCTTACTCAAAGTAAATACATATAATACATATAATGTAAATACATATAATGTAAATACATATAATGTACTTTTAGTTAAAAAAGAATTTTGAGTAAAAATATATAAATATTATTACAACACAATTTCTTATATACAGCATGGTGTTGATTTAATGGACGAAGATGTATTGCAATTCTACACAAGACAATGGGAGGAATATCAGTTCAGCAGTAAAGTGTTAAATGGTGTATGTGCATATCTCAATCGTCATTGGGTACGCAGAGAGTGCGAGGAGGGTCGCAAAGGAATTTATGAAATTTATCAGTTAGCCTTGGTAACCTGGCGAGATAACTTGTTTAGGCATTTACATAAACAAGTAAATAATCTTTCTGCCAATATCAATACATATTTTATTCTAGCTTATCGAGTATAATCTGTGTAATCTTTCTCAGGTTACTAATGCAGTGCTTAAATTAATCGAACGAGAACGTAATGGTGAAACGATAAACACTCGATTAGTCAGTGGGGTCATCAATTGTTACGTAGAATTGGGTTTAAATGAAGATGATCCAGGTTCTAAAGGACAAAATTTAACAGTATATAAAGATTCCTTTGAAAATATCTTTCTCGAAGATACCGAACGATTTTATAATCGTGAAAGTTCCGAATTTCTTAGACAAAACCCTGTAACAGAATATATGAAAAAAGTAAGTTTGAAAAAAAATATATTGTAGTAAAATATACAAGGACGTATTTTATATGTTTACATGTAAATATTTTACTGTGTGTATATAGGCAGAACAGAGATTATTGGAAGAACAGAAGCGAGTGCGCGTTTATCTGCATCAAACGACTCACGAGCGATTGGCCAAAACATGCGAAAGAGTACTTATCGAGAAACACCTGGACATATTTCATTCCGAATTCCAGAATTTGCTGGATGCTGATAAGAATACAGATTTGGGTAGAATGTATCAGCTAGTAGCGAGAATACCGAATGGTCTCGGAGAATTGAGAAATCTCTTGGAAAGCCACATAGCTAATCAGGGACTTGCAGCTATAGATAAATGCGGCGACTCTGCGGCTAATGTACATGTGATTTTAATATAATTGCATTATGTATGCAAATGTGTAATGATTACAATGTCGAGGAATCGCATATTGACAATTCATTTTTGTTTTCAGGATCCGAAAATTTACGTCAACACAATCTTAGAGGTACACAAAAAGTATAATGCCTTAGTGCTGGTTGCATTTAACAATGATAGCGGCTTTGTCGCGGCCTTGGATAAAGCTTGCGGACGATTTATCAATAGCAATTCTGTTACAAGAGCAGCCAATAGCAGCAGTAAGTCACCCGAATTATTAGCTAAATACTGCGATTTGCTGCTAAAAAAGAGCAGTAAAAATCCGGAAGAAGCAGAACTTGAAGATACTCTTAACCAAGTTGTAAGTATTCAAGTAATAAAGTTATATTTTTCTTTTTCATTAATTTTTTATCTAAACGATTTTTTGTGAAGAAATGATCATAATTGTAATCTCCTTCTTTGTAGATGGTAGTATTTAAATACATTGAAGATAAAGATGTATTCCAGAAGTTTTATAGTAAGATGCTAGCAAAACGATTAGTGCAACACATGTCTGCTAGTGACGATGCAGAGGCTTCTATGATCTCTAAACTAAAACAAGCTTGTGGATTTGAATATACTTCAAAGTTACAACGTATGTTCCAGGTAGGATAATGTATTTTATTGAATTATATATAGAGAAAAATTGCATTTTGATTTATTTAATTTATTATATATAGAGAAAAAATGCATTTTAATTTATTCAATTTATTTATCAATAGATCTATTGGCTAATTCATTTTATTATTAAAGCTTATTTCACTTTATTATTAAATAATAATAAATAAACATATAGCAATACAACTGTAATCTGAAACTGTAATCTGTAATCTGTAAACTGAATCTGTTCACAGGATATTGGTGTGTCAAAAGATCTAAATGAACAATTTAGGAGACATCTGACAAATTCTGCTGAACCTTTGGACATAGATTTTAGCATACAAGTTTTATCTTCTGGTTCATGGCCATTCCAACAGTCTTTTACATTTTCTTTGCCAACAGAGGTAAAACTATAAATATCATATAAATTTTTCTTTTAAATATTAAACATTTATTTATTTGAGAATTTAATTTGCAGCTGGAGAGATCTGTGCATAGGTTCACTACTTTCTACAGTTCACAACATAGTGGCAGAAAATTAAATTGGTTGTATAATATGTCTAAAGGAGAGTTACATACAAATTGTTTCAAAAATAGGTATACATTGCAAGCATCAACTTTTCAAATGGCAGTTTTGTTAGCATATAATGGATCTACATCATGGACAATACAACAATTGCAATATGCGACTCAAATAAAAATGGACTTTTTACTACAGGTAATATAGCATAATACTCTAAAGATAATATAATAGCACAGAAGGTTTATACTCTAGAAGCATAATACTCTAAAGATAATATAATAGCACAGAAATACAAGAATATTAAAACTTGCTTTATACAGGTTGTTCAAATACTTTTGAAAGCTAAGCTTTTAACTGCAGCTAGCGATGATGTAGCTGAACTGACTCCATTGTCGACGGTAGAACTTTTTACAGGATACAAAAAGTATATGTCGTTTATATATGTCGTCTATTATCTGCATTATATAATTTATATAATTGATTTAAAACTATTTTACTTATTTTAACAGCAAAAAACTAAGGGTAAATATTAATATACCTATGAAGACAGAATTAAAGGTTGAACAAGAGACTACACACAAGCACATAGAAGAAGATAGGAAACTTCTAATTCAGGCAGCAATTGTTAGAATTATGAAAATGCGAAAAGTATTGAAGCATCAACAGTTGGTGGCAGAAGTATTGAACCAATTAAGTTCTAGATTCAAGCCGAGAGTACATGTCATTAAGGTAAGATATTCATCTATCTTTAAAAAATTCTTTATATATAATATTATATTACTTACATAATGAAACGTTATATATGCCGTTATATAAACAATATTTATTCTTAATATTTTTTCTTGATTCAAATGAATGTGTAACAATTGTTGTAATATTATACAACAAGTATAATATTGTAGGACAATGTTTTATTAGAAATGGATTTTGAATTCTCTTTCTCTTTTCCAGAAATGTATAGATATTTTAATTGAAAAAGAATATTTGGAACGCACAGAGGGTCAAAAGGACACTTATAGCTATCTGGCATGATCAGTCGATTTAGGACAACGATACAGCAGCAGCCATATACATAAAACGAAAATAAACTTACATTATCATTGCTATATACGTATCAGGATATTTATTTAAGTTTCAAATGTAATTATCCATATTTTTATTCTGTACATGGATGCCTTTGTACCGTATTGTCCTTCTCTGGTCGCATTTAGGAAAGACTCTGGCTTTTTATATATCTTTCAAGAGATGTATACATGCAATGTCATCTAAAAAAAGAGGCATTGATAAAATTATTTCATAATTATCATGATCAATGTGCTAGGTGTGTTACTGTCTGTGCTATTTTCTATATAAAATAGAGCATACTGCTTGGCCATAGTATCACAGAACACATAATGAAATTTTAAGTAATCTACAGAATATTATAGCAAATAAATGATTAAAAAATGTGCATTTTTATCTCATTGCTAATAAATCATTAATATTTTTCGGTTTTCCAATTGTGAAAATATTAAAGAATAATCTATTTTCCATAAAATAAGAAATACTACGAGAATGAAGAAAATAAAAAAAGCATGTTATTACATCTATAAAAAGATCATTGTAAATTATATTATTGGTTTTTATATATGTATGTGTCTGTGTGTGTATATATATAGTATCATATATACATCCATATATAATATATATACACACACACACACAAAGAAATGCAATAAATATAATCAAACAGATTATAAAACATTTTCTCGAGCACATAGATAGTAATGCATTTTAGCAAAAAAAAAGCCCAACTTTTATGATAGATATATTTGAGACCAGAAAATTTTATATTAACATGGATACAAAATTCCATCATTGCAATGATAGCAATTTAATTGCTTTTGCATATAGTGTAATTTCGCCAATTCTGTCCTAGATAAAATTACAAAGATAAGATCTACAACACATGATTTCGTATTGAAAATTGAATGCTAACATTAATTCGTATAATTAGCGACTGAGATCAAAATTGATATCGACAAAATTACATTTAAGAATGCAAAATATGTCTAGAGGTAGTGGATCGCCTCAATTATCCTTAGGCTGAAACAGGGTTTAAGGATCAATATGTTGATTCTTAACTTATTAATGATGAATTTTGAGTAAATTTGTTTAAATTTTTGTAAAATTTTTATTAATGTAGTAGAGAAAAATATTTGGTATTTACAGTGCAATATGGAAACCGTACGAATCTGTGGATGAATAAAAAAAATAGCTACAAGATAATACATAAATTTCAACTTCAATACTCAACAGGAAGAATTCTGTATAAACGTTTGAAAGTTATAATCGTTTCAAGATTGATTTTGAAACTCGATATACATATAAATGAACGAGAGAGAAAAAGAAAAAACGTTTAGAACATCTTAAATATTTGCATAAATGTATCACGATCCCTAGATATTCGGATATTAGTCGGACATTTTCCTTGTGACATATTGTCGATGATAAAAAAAAAGGCTGAAGAACAAGGGAGAAATAAATTGAGAATTATTGTAATTAAACCATATTATATAATACTTGCCTGCAGGGCAACAACTACATACATATTTAGATACAGCAAGCATTATAACTTAATGTATTTTATTAAATAAAGTGTACTGCGAATTTTTTCAAATTACGAAAAACAAATGTAATATTCAAGTTAAGTTGTGTGCAAAAATGGATATTGACTTATACTATATATAGTTCTTATCCATATACTTGTGATATTCGCTATTATTTAATATCTCTATATAAATGAGCAATTGTTTATGACGAATTGTTTGCGAAAATAATTTTGATCGCGCTTTTGTAAGTTTTAGACATGTACTACAACGGTATACATCATCTTAGGCTAAGAATTAGGATCCATTGCAGAAGGAATGCTCTTGTATTATTCAGCGAAATAACATTAATAATTTTGAGAAGAGGAGAGACGCATATTTTTAAATTCAGTGTATAGCTCGTCGCGTGACACTTTTCAATATGTCACGATATTGTAAAAGCAAATAATGAATATTTATACTCGCGTCAAAATGCGCGGCGAAAATCTGATGCTTTGAATTTTTGTACACTAAGAGTTTGTTATTGTCAGTTATTATTCCTTGCACGCATGCGTGCGCATACATACACACACAAATACACACAAGTTATGTAAATAAACTGACATAAATAAACTGTGAATGAGGCATTTGAAATTGTCAAGGAGAAAAATTATTTAAATTCGATATGTAATCATCAAAATCAAATTTTTTTGTACTGTTTCTCATTATACTTTTTTCTCTTCTTTTTATACTTTTTTTCGGTTGTAATTTTTGTGTAAAAGATAATTATCAAAAATATTTGCGAAAAATTTGATTTCCATAGGCGAGTGCCAATGTAAATGTTATATTTTTTTTGAACAATGACTAAAAATCCGCAATTTTTATAAACTTTTTCACATTTTCTTTTTTCAAATATACCTTTGTTATTTTGTGTAATATTAAATTGTGATGCAAAATGAAACAAAAATATTCATAAAATTATGAGTACTAATTTATAAATATCATATTTGTTGAAAAAATACGAAATATTTTGATTTTAATAATGTTTAATCTTGATATGTCAAAAAACACACAAGCACTCTGTTAAAAAATGCACATTATAAGATATTATTGACAGAATGACATTTGTCTTATCTTTCTCTTATAGAATCAAATAGTAATAGTCTTTCAATAAATATTTTATCAGAGCTGCTGAGGTTTCCACTCCAATAATTTTGTAAAGTCTTCTTCTGTTAAACGAATTTGCCCATTTGACATTAGATACATCTGTAAAATTATAAGATTATAAAGTTGCATTACATGTCATGTAAATAGAAGAAATTATTGAATTTTAATATATATACATTTTGTTTCTTCAAATTATCTATAAGTAGCATTTGCTTCTTAAATGCTTGCACTAATTCATTTCGCTGTTTTTCCAAGCTTTTTATGGCTATTCTCTTGTCTTCTTGTAATTTCCTAATTGAATTCCTTAATTCCTATAAAGTAGATGATATATATAGCAAGATTTTGTACATATTTATATTAAATACACTCTATTTAAGTGTACCTTTTCTTCTATTTGCCTACATTTTAATGCATTCCTAAGTTTTTCATTACTTTCTAGAGATCTATTTAATCTCACATCATAATTAGTCGATTGCTGATTTAATGTATTTATTTCCTTCTTAAGACCTTCCAACTCCTAGAAGAAGATATTAGCATAAGAAATCAATAATAATGCCAATACATATTACAACAAAGATATATAAATACCTTTTTTAAGGAACTATTTTCACTGTTCAAAACTTGACAGTTTGATATTGCATCAGAGTTTTTGTTTTCTAGCTTTGTGATTGTATCATTTAATGTTCCTACTTGATTATGCAATTTAATTTGAATATCATCAAGTTTTTTATTTCCCACTTCTAATTCTTTACAATAATCACACTACAAACACAATTATAAATTTATTTTTTACAGATTGTAGAATATTGTATGGAAAAAAAATGTATATTGTGTATTTTTAATTTTTTATGGGCTCTTTGCAAACATTATACAACAAAGTTGTATAATCTTGATAAAGCAAAGAATTACCTTTTTATTATACTCAAGTTGCATTGCCTGTAGCTCTTTATACAACATATCTATCTTGCCTTTAAGCAATGTAACAATAGCATTATTTCCTACACTATTATCCTTTTTTAATGAAACTTCGACATTATTGTCTTTTTTTGGTGGAATTTCAACAATTCCATCTAATGTTCTTGATTGTTTATCTGTCTTTAATGTTTTCTCTTCCGAATGTATCGTTTTTACATCTTTCGTTATAAAATTTAAGTACGATTGATTCGCATTGCTAAACAAATTATCACGAGCATGGATGACAGAATCAACCTCCTTTATCATATCATTTGTCTTCTGTTGAAGCTCGCGATTCAATCTATGAAACTCTTTTTCCTTAGCTAATAAATCATCGGACATTTTTAAATAATATTTATATACATGATACAAATTAAAGAAGGTAACTACGACAATCTCAGGTAGAGGCCAATCAAGGCCAATCAGGAGGGGTTTCCTCTCTTTTGTTCGGCCAATCAAATACTTTGAAGTATTTACAACGCCAAGAATGGAATTATTGAAGAAATTGTCGAAAAATTTTTAATGCAATTTTTCCTGCAAATTATAAACAGAAATTAATATGAGAGAACCACTATTATGGATATATCAAACTAGAAATCAATATAAAAAAATCACGAATCCGAAATTTTATTTTTCGCAAATTTCTCTTTTTTTTTTATAAAATATCAATTATTTTTTTTATTTGCAGGTACATTTTCCTGAGTGAAAAATACGTAGGGAAAACTCGTTACAACGGCGAATAAAAAAAAATCAAGAGTCGCCTGATCACGTGATCATATTAGAGTGAATAAGCGAATGACGGATACACCGCGATACAATTTGACACTTACAAATTAGAGACTGTGCATGTGACTCTTCTAGGACAGGAGTGGGAACGGAGGGGAGATCTTAGAATTCGATTGCAATTGAAAAAGCCTTGGAGGAGTCTTGTTGATCGATTACCTGTCATTTGTCATATATCTCGCTACGCGTTATACCAAGACAAAACGGAATCCTTTATCGACATTGCAAGATACCTCGAGCGAGAGACGCCGACCAACGTCGACGCTCATTCGCAGATTGTGCAGCGAATTGATCGAGACGCGGTTATATCAAGTATGATAATGGTACGGCACTGTGTATGTCGTTTTGATTAAAGATGGAGGAAACGGGTAACGAGAAATTCCTATCGCGAAGACGTTCCGCCGCTTTGAAGGCCTTTAAAGTCAAGGATGAGAGAGTAGCCACCTTAAAGAAGGTACGTACGAGTCAATATCATTGTTTAATCCCGTTCGCAGGCCCATCTTTTACGTATCGTCCGAATTCTGACTCATCGTCCGGCACCCACAATGTCTCTTTTTAAGCGGAGATATATCGTAAACAAATCTCGCTCGAGCGTGACACTTTTTTTTTTCAGGTGGCAGCGATTTTACAAAAATCGGAAATAGATCGAACGGCGGAAGAAACTGGGATATTGGCCTCCTGCAGCGATGTAGTGAAAGAGGTTAATTTACGGTAATAATCTCTTTTTTTCCTTTTGTAAAAATGTAAGTTTTTTTTAGAATTATTTTTGCAGACGCTTTCATTTATAATTAATTTTACCTTGAAAGGAAGCTACTTGTGTAAGATTTCTAAAGTTTACCTCTTTAGAAATCTCAATGTTTTTACAGTATTTAATCCTAAGAATTTTTATGCTATGAATATAAATTATATTTTTTTTTGTATACAATAAAATATTTAAAAGTATAATATCTATATATATATATAAAAAAAACATAGTAATGTAATATTTGAATTTTTTAAAAAACATTAAAAGTTGTTTATAACATGTATATATTTGTAGACAAGAAAAACGACATAAGATAAAAGCAAGATTAGAAGAAGTTGAAGATGCCACTGAGATTTTGGATGAAAAATGTATGCGCTTGGCAGCAGCAATCAGCAGAGCGACATCCCTCACAGTGTACACTGGTGCTGGTATTAGTACAGCAGCATCTATTCCTGATTATAGAGGAACTAATGGTGTTTGGACTCGTATGCAACAAGGAAAAGACATTGGGTAGGGATCTTAATTAAAACTTAATATAACATATCAGTTATTTCTTCATATTTTCTTTCTTAATTAGAAAGTTGTTACGCAATAAAACTTGCGAAAGATTTCACAAATATACTTATCTCTATAATTCTAATTATTTTATTCCTATTCATATTTATATCAACTATCTATTTTTATTATTTGCATCATAGATATTTTTTTGATATTGTGAATTATCAGTGATAGAAATAATATAACAATTTAAATCATAATTTAATAATTTCAATATCATTACAATATACTAATTTAAAAGAAATTCTACATTTACTATCTATATATTTATTATTATTATTTATTACACTCTTTTAACAGAAATCATGATCTGAGTCAAGCTGAGCCAACATTAACACATATGGCGCTTTATGCATTGTACAAAGCGCGCGTTCTCAAATATGTAGTTTCTCAAAACTGCGATGGATTACACTTACGCAGTGGTATCCCACGCAATCTTCTGTCGGAAGTTCATGGTAACATGTATGTAGAAGTTTGTAGGGCATGTAAACCATTTAAAGAATATTGGAGGCTCTTTGACGTCACTGAAAAGACTGCTCGATATCAGCATGGTACAGGAAGATTATGCCACAGATGTAATTCACTGTTGCAAGATTCCATTGTTCATTTCGGTGAGAGAGGTAATCTACCTTGGCCAATCAATTGGAGCGGAGCATCTAGAGCTGCAAAGCAAGCAGATATTATACTATGTTTAGGTTCTAGTCTAAAAGTTCTCAAAAAGTATCCGTGGTTATGGCAGATGGATAAACCCGTTCACAAAAGAGCTTCCCTCTACATTGTCAATTTGCAATGGACCCCGAAAGACGAAAATGCAGTTTTAAAGATAAATGGAAAATGCGACGAAGTGATGAAGAGAGTAATGAGTCATCTTGGTTTAGAGATACCACAATATAATCGTACAAAGGATCCTATCTTCTTTCATGCTATAAAACTTCAAAACAGTGAACAACTCACTACGACTCAACCGTGTCTCGAGGAGCCGACAATTAAGAAGGAGCCTTTGAGTCAAAGTAGCGATGAGAATGTGAAGTGTACAGTGCAACAAACTGATGACAAAGAAGATGACTGTATATCGACGGTAACGGTAACTGACACATCAACTGCCTATCCAGCTCCTTTTTTCGCCGCGTTACCATTCTTATCCATGGGCTTGCCATTTCCTCCTATGTACATGTACCCTCAATTAACGCCATTGTTTTATTATCCCTTCATCCAAGCACCGAATGCACAGATAGAGGCGCCGAAACCCAAGCCAGCTTGTTCGTTTTGTATGGAAAATGAGGGCTCTCTTACCTGTTTGTATTATCAGCGTGACGGAGAGTGTCTTACACCAACGAAGACGGAGAACGAACAGAAGCAGGAAGAAGGTACATTGGTGATTCGTGCGGACACTCCGAGCATAGCATCTCCAAAGAATCCAGGTTGGTTTGGTAAAGGATACCGTAAAGGTATGAGAAGGAAGCGGTAGCATCTGCTCTTTATAATACGCCCAACGCTTTTTTGGTCCTCGCTCTTTATCGAGATTATAATATAACCTTGTATTGTACGATATAATAACGTACATAAGTATTTAAAGTCGCCATATCGTAATAAAACTGCATATTTTGTAGGTTTATAGTAATTTGATTCCAGTATTCGAAGCTTTAACAAATAGACTGAAATTTTGGAAATGAATTCTAATAACACACAAAAAGAATCTATCATTTGTATCCATTTCAGAAAGATTACTTTTTCAAGATTTGTACTTCTCTCATATAAAAACAAGATGAGGAAATAAGCTGCACATTTCGATTGGAGATTATTTTAAGAAAATATTTTATTAATTATTAACAAAACATATTTTATTGTTTTATTGTTTTATGAATATTTTTATCAATTATTCTATCGGACTGTATTTTGCATACTAATATTTTCAAAAGTGTTTCTCTTCCCATATTTGCAACAATATGCTGTCAATAGGCTGAGATAAACGTAGAAATAGTAAATAAATTTTATTTAATACATTTATTTATAACTAAATTAAATAAAGTAAATTTTTAATAGTTCTCAAATTTTTCAGGTACTCGTTAGAAATCATAATGTTGGCAAGTTACTTTTTCGGTAACTTGTAAAACAATAATTCCGTATCTTTATATTTATTACTTCATCTAAAGCGTCCTTATTTGTATTAATCAAAACCAGGTTAATACTTGCCTCTATCATACATTCAATCTATATATCGAGCTCATATGCTGTAACACACGATAATTAAGAGTATGCAAATACTTTAATATTTATATATATATATATATATATATATATATATATCTTAGGGTATATTTTATTAGACTACAGGAATATATTGCGAGCATTATCATTGTTCAACATATTTTTATATAAAATAGTTAAAAACAATCATTTCCTTCATCACACATTTTAATAACTTTATATAATTTAAATTATTACTATTGCTCTTGTTATTTATCTAATATATTTCATAGATATAGGTAGAAAAAGATAGACTTGACAAATCATTAAATATATATTAGTGATATGTGTGTATATGTATATAAACATATACATACATATACGGATTGCATTTTTTTTTATTTCTCATTTACACAAATAAGATATGTAATGTAATGTAACTGTCAACTATTAGTATAGTTTATACATGTCGTGAGTCTGTCTTTTTTTTATATCTATGATATATTTTTTAATTATTTAACATGCTGTATTCGTGGCTACATATATTTGAATTGTTGATATTTTAGGACAAGCTCAACATACGTATACATATACACATGGTATTGTAGGCATATGTATGTGTATGTGAGTGAATGTATATGTATACATATTTATATTGATATATATTATTTTATTATCCCGATTATTATATAATTCCTGTTTATATAATTTAATTAATCCTATGTATTGCCCAAATTATTTAAAAAAAACGTTCATTATTTATAAAAAATAAATTAAGTAAAATAAATAATAAATCTATACTTCTCTCTGAAGAAACACGAAATTTAGGAACACGAATAGATTTTCCATATTATGACTTCTAATAGATAATAAACAAAGAACACTGTAAAAAAACAAAACGAAACACAAGATGAACAAAACTGAATGATAAAATTGATGCATTATTACTTAAAAGCTGAATTGGGCAATCGAGGATTGAACGTATCTACGTTTAATATGTCATGAGATTAACATCGGCAGTTCCCAAAGCAATATACTAATTATAAAATGTGTGTATATTAAGTGAGATCTAGTGCAATACAGTTATAATCCTTCCAGGTTACTGTATGTATGCTGATATTGTATACTTGGAAAAAAAATGAAGCTTTTGCTAAAAATTATATAACATGATTAATGTATGTGTGTGATGTTTGTGATGTTTTTTTATAAGAAATTAAATTTTTATTCGAAATTTTTTATGCTTATGCAATATTGCTAAGATAAGAGATACGGCTAGTTTATAATAAATTTTAGAATTTAGTGTTCTTTAGTGTGTGAAAAAATGAATGACAGATCTATTAATTTATTCTCGATAATACAAAATATAATAGCTTGCTTTATGACAGAGATTCACGCTATATGTAACTATCGTATTTCGTTTTGTTTTTTTTTTCTTTTTTTTTCTTTGCGTGCGAAGAAATGCGCCTTGATATTACTAGTTTATGGTAAACAAAATATTCATATAATCGTATACATTTTCTGTTAGAGATATTCTAAAATAAATATTAATTATCGTAGTGAAAAAATATTAATTATTCAACGCTGAGAAGACACCACTAATCCGTTACTGTCAAGATCCACGTTTAAAATGAACATTGTCAAAGCTATTCTTTTAATTCGATTAATTTTAATTAAAACGCGGAATATACGAAATGTTGAACGTGTGATTATGAATCAAAAATATATACATATATATATCTATTTTTAAAATAAAATTAGTAATTAATTTAGTAAAAAAAAAAAAGAAAAAAAATGCTCGACATTGCGCGAGTGAATTAACGAAGGGCTTGCGAGAAGCCGGTGCCGGTACTGTCGGCACGCACACAAAGGCGCGAGAGAGGGAGCCGCTCTTGCGTTTACGGGGCGCGGGCGTGGGCGCCTCCTCTCGTATGCCCCTCTCTGTCGCTCCCGCTGACAGCCCTGGTGCTAAACTAGCCCGGCTGCGAGTAATTTTCGTCGTTCGAATGGCTTTCCATCGAGTGGCTTTTTTTCCCGGTGTGTATAAGCCAAAATAGCGCCGCCGTCTCTCACGAGGGACTCCCCGACTCGCGGTATCGACGCTCTCGTCGCGATTAGTCCTGTGCGAGGCTGTCTTTAAATGGACGAGCGGCGGTGAGCGTGCACGACGTCGGCGACAAGAGGCAAGACTACAATCACGACGACGGCGACGGGAAGCGGAAGGAAAAACGGCAGGAGAACCGCTCGGGGCTACCATCAGGAGTATGGATCCCTCACCCCCGTGAGCTGCATCGTCGGTCGAACCTATCATTCGGCGGCGGATCGTCATCTCGCTACTCGGGTAGCGAGCAGCCGAACCTGCAAACACCGGTGAGTCGAAAGATCAAGTTGGGAAAGAACTGCGGGGGCGGCGCAGGGTTGATAGAGGTGCACGTAGGCAGGAGGGAAATGAACGTAGAGGAGGGTTAAGATCGCTAGAGAGGGAGAGATCGAAAGGCCTATGGTCTGTCGCCATGGTGATTCCGCACAGCATCGCCCTATCGCGAGGACCCCTTATCCCTTCGACCCTCGTACTTTTGTCCCTTGTCCTTTCGTCTCGCTCTACGCGACGCATTAGGAGAGCTGGGTTGCTCGGTGGATAGAACAGTCACCTGGCGACCGGTGGAAATCGGTAGAGGAGTTAAGTCTCTCTCTTTCTTTTTTTTTTTTCCATTTTCATTTTTTATTTCTGCATATTTATTTATTTATAGATTTATTTATATTGATTTATATTTATTTAGATATATAGAGATATTATTTAGATATATATTTATTTATATTTATTAATACTTGCTAGATAAGAGAGCAAGGTGAGAAACATCGTCTGTCGCCAATAAATGTTTTATAAAAATTAGAAGAGGCAGATTTCAAAACAATTTCAAATACTCTTTGAGTTTGTCATATTTCATTCTAGTACTCTTTGCTTATGCTGATCACGTGATTCATTTTTTTTTCTTATTACCATTATGGAGCAATCGATGTTGTCGTGCATGATGTGATTACTTTATGTCATGCATAGAAAAAGTGCTCTCTATTGAAATAGAATTAATTATCTCTCAAGTAGATTCAACCAGTTTGGTTGGTTTTCGATTAATAACCATTTTTTCATCTTTCTATTTTCTTTCAGCATTTTAATGACATGTTTTACCTCTCAGGACTTTATCCATGAGATAAATTTTTTTTTCTATCTCTCCTTTCTCTCATCAAAGTGCTTGCGAGCACGTTCGATACTGTTATTATTCATCCCATGGATTAGATACTCGTTCGAAATAGCTTATTTAGAGATATGATATGAATAATCGTGAAGACAATGAAGTAACAGTCCTCGTGAATAAAGTCTACCTCACAGTCAAACTATGAAATAAAATTGTAATATTAGCATTGATTTTTGAAAACATGAATACGTCAAACTTATAATACATGACTATATCTATGGCTGTGTTACTTAAGATATTTTTTATGTTATCTGCCGTTTATGAACGTGCAATGTAAGCAATTTGATGCATGTGCAACTGTACAAGACCCATTTTTAATGATCTTGCACAGGGTCTCTTGAAGTGTCAAAAATAAACATTAGTTATAGGACTCTGCAACCAGTTAGATATAGCACGTGGCTCTTCGATATCAAGAAATGGTAGATTATGTATTTAAAATACACTCGAGCTCTCTCTCGATGAGCTAAAAATGGTAATTTGATTTTTGTCGAGGCTTCTCGAAGGGATCATGAAATGCTTGTTAAATTATCTAATTAGAATTATATGGTTCAATTCGATTCCCGATATGGATCTCTCGCTTTATCATATTAAATATATATGCTTTTAATATTCTGAAATGAGAATAGAGGTTGCAATTTATGCAACTTATTTTTAATGTGGAAAAAAGTTTGTTACATATTAATATAACTTTTTTATATCTACATAATATCTATAAAAGTATATTTATTATCTATATTAATATGAAGATAATAAATGTATCATCAATATATTTGTATATATATGAGATATATTTACTTTTTTATATTTGCAAAAATGGATTATATTATGTTTAATTATATTTTTAAATTATTTGAATTTAATCTTTTATGCGCATACAAAATTAATTATATGCAAATAAAATTATGTTTGTCCCGAAATAGAATAGATAGATAGATAATCTTTGTAATTTTGATGTAATTTGACAAAAATTTGACATCAAACTGACGTTAAACTACCTACTTTTGCTATCTTTTAAAACAAATTTATATAAGATTATATGTATAATTACTGGCCACTATCGTATGTGAACATCATTGATTAATATCTATACTACCGCGGTTTATATATCTAACGTTAACATGTCGCTATATAATCGACGGTAATTAGTTCTATTGTGGCTCCATGTCGTATTGTGTGTACAGACCAATTTAGCTGTCCAGCAGTTTAAAGCTCTTTAATTAATAAATTACTCGTAATGTCTCACACGATGCTTTCCATTAAGAAAGAATCGAGATGAGGATTTTCGACGTTTTTAACAAAGAAAAACTGAGACAGAAAGAAAATAATTTATATTTTACTCTTTTATATGTATAATAGTAATTTTGCATATCTCAGAAATTCTCGCGTAAGTTTAAAAAAAAAACATTTTTCTTCTCACAATTAAAGACATTACACTCTATAGATCCAAAGATCTCTCTCTCAAACAAGAAACAATCTAAAGAATAATCGCGACATTGCTGGTTTTTGTTCTTTTAAATCAGCATGGATAGCATATAATTATCTATTAATGATTTGTCAAAGTATAGATTACTGATGAGAAAAATAAAGAAGAAAAAGGCTTGCGTTCTTTCTTGAACGCTAGCATTGAGATTAAACGTACTCTACATTGTTCTTTAAACCCACTGTACCATGTTATCTAATCTTCATATTTGCTTGCGTATCTCTTTTGGACCAATCGCCGAGTAGAATTTGAACAATATTGATGCAACGCGATACGTATATTTTCTTTTGTAGATTATTCTAAACTATTTTGTCAGTGTAATATGATTTTTCTCTGGTATATATTTAATAATATAATTTTTCATATTTTATTATAAACATATTTATTATAAACATACATTTTATCATAAATTATAAGACAATTATATAAAAGAATATAAAATAAATATATAATATTACTTCTACGATGTTAAATAATCATGAAAACATTTTATGTAAGCGAACACATCTACAATATGTATAGAGTTTTATAATGGACATCGATATAACTATTTTGCATATAAATTATACAAATTAACAGTATACATAATACACATGACACTAATTGCTTATTATTTGCAAGCGATTCAATCATGCGAGCAGTTTATTCCGCGGGCGTCACTGCGCAGGCGCGAGCGGGAGAGAAAGACGTCCCAGATATCTTTTTTTTTTTAAATTCAATCTACTATCAAAGCACACGAGGTGTCGTCTACCCTCGCCACGTCTATGGTATTCTTATTAGACCCCTATTCTCGGTATCTCTCCTCTTCTTTCCTCGCGCGAGATCGTAAAAAGATCGGAAAAAGCTCGCGTTCCTCGCAGACGGGCTCCAGAGGACGACGGCGAGCGCTGACAGCTCGCGCGCCCTGGCGGCGGCTTCGAGCGTTAGTCGGCGCTGCGAAAAGCCGCCGCAGTGTCGCGTGTCTGTGTCGCGATTCGTCGCGTCGCGTCGTGTCTTCCGTACGCGAGCTGTCCGAGCGCGAGACACGAGTCGATCGGGAATCTCCTCCACGAGCACCGCCTCGTCGCGAGTCCCCGTCGCGAGTCCCGAGGACCACGATCACCCTCCGCGCGCGCGAAAGCCTTCGGAACCTCCGAGGATCCCGAGCGAGGAGCGGCGCTCGCGCGAGCAATGGCGCGATCGCCACGCGCCGCGGAATCGGCGACGTGTGCACGACGTAGATGATACATCGGTGCCTTTCCTCGTGGCATGGTGGTGTTTACGTCGCGCGTGAGGACCTACTTGCCGCGACGAGGTTGCGACGACGGTGTGCGAGCAGCTCGACGGTGAAACGAGGACGCGAGCCGCGTCGTGAGCCGCCATGAGACGCATCAGCGGTAAGTCGTCGTCACGAGCATTTACTCGCCGAGTACGTATGTATGTATGTATGTATGTATGTATATGTAAACGTGTATGGGTGTCTGTCACGCTCTCGGGTCCTTTTCTCCGCTCCTTGCTTCGCGAACGGGAGAATCGCGTCCTCGTAACTCGCCGACATCGAGACAACGGTCGCTTTCGCGCTTATCAATGCGTCTCCGTTTACGCTACTCGGTGCCTGGTATGCGAGGTACGCTTGGGTTTCTGCGATCCCGCTGCGGGGCAGGATACATTCTTACTCCGCTAATTGGTTCCGCGTACAGTCGATGTCAATCAGTCACGAGGCATTCTTTTGTTCGGCGAGTAATTCACGGGAGATTTACTTCCGCGCGTCTTACGCGTCGAAGATGACAACCAGTGATAACTGTTGGAATATTCGTAGGAATATATTATGTTCTTTTTGTAATTGTTATTATATCTCCCATCTATGGGAAGATAAATTCGTATGATGTGGGTCATTTCTTATATTAAGCAAAAAATGCGTGTGAAAAATTCCTAATGGAATGATAAATTTGTGGCTTTTTTCCTATTGTATTTTTGACGTTTCGCTTGGTACTTTGACCTTTGTTTTCGCTCGAACGTACGCACGATTATTCAAACGGTATTATTGTAATCGTACACTCGACATTTGCCACGTGATTTTTCTTACGAGATAACATGTCGAGGAGAGTTACCTTTATTTTAAATAATAAGGTCTATTTTATTGCAATTAATTTTTTATTAAATAGCAGAAGCAAAAAAACTCGAGATCTGAAAAACACATAAAAAGAGAAAAAGATCTGCCTTTAACGAAAGAGAGAGGAAGAGATAGATTTCGTTATTTTTTCTCTTTTTTTCTTGGACTTTATCACTATAACAGACTCTCTCTCTCCCTCCCCCCTCTCTCCCTCTCCCTCTATTTCTATCTCTCTCTATCCTTTTAGTATCTATAATGCATCGATAATTTTGAAATTATCTATTTTTTTAATGCAATATTTTGCTTGTATTATTGTTTAAATGTCATCCAGGGTGTTATTAAAAAAAATTTGCCACGAGTAGCACAGCAACCTTAAGAACTAATTTTATAGTATCGTTACGGAAGCCATTTAATCTTCCCTGTAAGTGACAATGGGGAGAGAAACTGACTGATGGAGGTAGAGCCGAATCAAACCAGACCGAGTCGAGCAAAATTCCCCGCTATCGTTTATTTAGCCGTAAAGTTCTTAGCGGTCCTTGTTGAC